CGTGGGCGCCTCGTGGGTGCCTCGTGCGCCGAGTGGGTCCGCCAGGTTCTCGCCCGGTACCCAGTTGGTGGCCACTCGTGGGCGCCTCGTGGGCGCCCCCCCGCATTTCACCTGGTGCCTGGTGCGCGGCCACTCGTGGGCCCCTCGTGGGCGCCTCGTGGGCGCCCCGTGCGCTGGGTAGGTCCGCTGGGTTTTCGCCCGGTGCCCGGATGGTGGCCACTCGTGGGCACCTCGGGGACGCCCCGTGGGCGACCGACCCTACAGAGCTTACATCACATGGTTTGCACCACGTAGCTTCCAACACAAATATTGAACGAGTGAGCTTGCACCTAGTAGTTCATGCCACGTAGCTGGCACCACATAGCTTACCGCACGCAGCAAATATCCGCCGATCCGGCGTGTGAGTTTCAAAGACACTCAGATATAGCCTGAGCCTCAGTTCTTGAGCTTCAGCTCTGCTGGGGGGGGGGGGGGGCCGGGGGGGCTCTGCTGGGTAGGGGGGGGCGGGGGGATGGTTCCGAGTCTATTTTGGTGGCAAAATCGGAGCTCCAGCTCACTCCGGGTGGGCCCCTCGCTCCGGAGAGCTCGAACGCGGGCTCATAAAAAAAACCCAGCGGCCGCCCAGACGGCCCAAGAGGGCCCTGAGTGGCCGAAACATCGCTCCAAGACACTCAATATGTTCCTGAGACGGCTCCAGAAGCCTCCAACGTACCCTCCCGACACCTCCTAAGAGTGCCCAAAGACAGAAAATCTGTCCCATTCCCTTAGGACAACGTACATATGTTGCATTTTCGCTTCTTCGGCCTTCGCAGTGTCCAACACGGCCCAAGAGACCCCCAAAACAGGCCCAGAGGCTCTCAAGAGGGCCCCGGGGCCTCAAGAGGGCCCAAGAAGCGCCCAAGAGGGCTCCATGACGGCCCCAGAAGGGCCGAAGACTGCCCAAGAGGCGCCCAGGAGGCACCGAAATGGCCCTAGGAGTCCCCAAGAAACTCCGAGAGGCTCCAAGTGGCCCTCAAGAGGCCCCCCAAAGGCACCCAAAAGCGCTCCCGAAGGCTTAAAAATTACTTCCTACACACACAGACACAGGAGGCCTCCAGGATGCCTCCTGCATGCCCCCCAAGATGCCCAAAAGGCCCCCAAGAGGCTCAACAACCACCTCCAAGACGCCCCCCCAGGAGGCCTCGAAGATGCGTCGTAGAGGCCCCATCAAGAAGCCCACTCATTGTTTCCAAGCTGTTTCTAAACCACTTACGTTTGAACAAGCGCGCTGGGGCGAAAGCGTCCTTCTGACAGCGGGATCGTCCCGGGTCGGCGGCACTGGCCGGAGGCCTCAACAATATACTGCGCCACGTAGAGTTCACCACACGGCGTGCACCACATAAATCTGACAAAACAGCTTGCACCACAGAATCCAAACCAGAAAGATTGTACCACATAGCTTGCACCCACCACCAGCTCTACACATCCTCAGTGCAATACCTCAGTGTTCGGGGTCCACGCTGGCAACCACGCGTCGCCTTGCAGCAAGCAGTCTCCGACCAGAACACAGTAAAACATGATTGGGGTCTACGCTGTGATGGTTCGTGCGTTCCGCTTCCTGCGCGCCATGAGTCAGGTCGCCACATGTGTTGGCCCCGAACATGCGGTCGTCGCGTGTTGGATCAAGCCCATGGCTGCTTGCTGCCTGCACTCCGACCAGGACGTGGAGCCACACTCGGATGCGCGGGTGGGGCGCTCCGTCGCTCCTGCCCCCCGGGGGGGCGGCCCGCCGCCCCGCCCCCCCCCCGACGCCCGCCCCGAGCGCGGCGAGGAGGCGTCAAGGCTTCGCGCGGCAGCGCAGCGGGATGAAGAACATGGATCGCAGCCCGAACATGGCGAGCACCGTCGAGCTGAAGGCCAAGAACTGGTCCGGAATCTGGGCCACCTTGGCGCTCACGCTGTCCAGGGCGAACAGCACGTCGGTGAACTCCAGGCACGCGATGACCATCACCAGGAGCGTCACCTGCCAACGCCCATCGGCGTTCCAGACCAACATGCTGCCCTCCGTGTCGTACTTTTCCACCAGTCGAGGGCCAAGGAGCTGGGAAAGCCCCTTCACCAGCCTTGTCTCACTAGGGTCCATATCGTCGTCGTCCTCGCTGCGGGCGGCCTCCACGCCACTATATATGAGAAGGGCGCCAAAGGGATAGCGTATCCAGCCAAAGAGATTCAGCAGCGTCGATACGACCATGAAAAAAACCATGCGCATGATCACGGCGCCCAGGATGCCCACGAATGCCGCCTTGTGGATCTGGTCAGCGGGTGTCTTGTATGCCGTGAAGACCAGATGGAACACGAAGAGATTGTCCATGGAGAGCATCCACTCCAGCAGGTATCCTGTGGCATCCTCTTCTTCCTCCTCCTCGTCATCCTCCTCGTCCTCCTCGTCCTCCTCCTCGTCCTCAACCTCCTCGTCCTCTCCCAGCCTCCTCGTCCTCCTCGTCCTCGTCCTCCTCGTCCTCCTCGTCCTCCTCGCCCTCCTTGCCTCCACTGGGCACTCCTCCTCGCCCCCTCACCCCCCCCCCGAGGGAGGCACTTCTTCTTTTTCTTTCTGCGGAGGGGGAGCGGCAGCATCTGTCCTGTCGCCCACTGGAAGGCGCTCTGCCGGCCCTCGATCACGAGGACCACCAGGTTGAACCCCACCGCGGCCAGGACCCAGAAGCCGACGGCCGCCGCGTGCCACCGGAAGGTGCTGGGGAAGCGGGCCAGCACGAAGCAGTCCAGGAGGCAGAGGGCCACGCAGGTGCCAAGGAGGAACATCCAAGATCCGACAGGCGCGGCCTTGAAGAAGTTCAGGCCCTCGTCGCCGTCTGGCGCCGCGCGCGCAATCCTCGGGAAGATAGCGGTGTACCACATGGTCTGCGGGGAGAAATCGAGATTCGCGCGAATAATGCCGCGCGGGGAGTCGTCGCCGTCCACCCAGCCTGGGAAGTCGCTGTCGACCCTCAGCAGGTCGGGCTCCGTGCGAAGCTGTCGCGCTCCAGAGGCGGCGAGCTCAACGACTCCTGTCTCGTTGGGCATCGTGGGCGCAGCGGCGACGGATCCCCTGGGCAGATCCGTGTACGACACCTGAGGGGCCCCCGAAGAGACTTGCACAATCAGTGCAGGCTCACCTCCTCACCACGCCCTCCCAGTTCTCTGCAGGAGGGAGAAGGGCAAGAGTGGGGAAGACGAAGGGGTCCTCCTCCGCCTCCTCCATTCCTCCTCCTCCTCCCCTCCTCCTCCTCCTCCTCCTCCTCCTCCTCCTCCTCCTCCTCCTCCTCCTCCATTCTTTGTCCTTATAAAAAAAATCCCTGTCGCACCCCGAGGCCATCTTTTAGGGCGGGCCGGGCGTTTCGGCGGAGACTTTTATCACAATATGGTTCTGAAGCTTCAGGTTAACAACAGCTTCACAGATGAAGGGCGGGTCGTTTTCAAAGTGTGGCTCTCGCCTTAGCGAGGCGCACATTCGATTTTAAAAAATCGCAAGAGCTTCGCGGATTGAGGACGGGTGGTTTTCAAAATGTGGTTCTCGCCCTAGCGCGGTGCACATTCGCGCTTAACATTTGCAAGAGCTTCACGGATTGAGAGCGGGTGGCTTTCAAAATGACGCTCTCGCGTTAGCGCGGCGCACATTCGTTGTTTCAATGTGTAAGAGCTTCACGGGTTGAGGGCGGTTCCTTGACAAAGTTTGGCTCTCGCATTAGCGCGGCGTACATTCGTTTTGAATATTTGCAAGAGTTTCACGGGTTCCCACCATCAACGTACCAGAGATGGTGTGTTGGAAAGATTCAGGACCATGCGGGTGCAACAGTTACGTTGGTTCTCTGTGTTGCAGTCCTGGGAGTGGCGTTCTGGCACGACTCAGGATCGTCAAGACGAAACGGTCAGGTTGTTCGGTGGCATTGGAATCCAGAGAACAATGGTTTGGCATGCTTCAGGGTCTTCGAACGGGTGTCTGCCAACGAGGCAGTTCCATCAATGGATATGAACCGTTGTAGGGGCATATGAAGCGGGAGCTTGGAAGGAGGGTTTACTCCATCATCGTTGATGACTCTTGGGTTGACACTGGTCCTCCTCCTCCGCCTCCTCCTCCTCCTCACCCTCCTCTTGCCCCCGTTTCCCGGGTCAGCGTTACTAGGTCGGCGCTGTCCTCTCCTCTACTCATCCTTCCCTCGCACTTCGCGTCTCCATCGCACCACCTCCCTCACCATCTATCGCCCTTCCTCCCTCGCACTCCCTTCCCCCACGTCCCTAGACGTCGGATTGTGTGTTTGGAAGAGGGGTGCTTCGGGGTGATCGTGCTCCTCCTCGTTCCTTCCTCCCTCGGTATGATCGTCCTTCCTGCTCCTCCATCGTCTCTCATTGCGGGAGGACGAGGGAACAAGAGAAGTGAAGACGAGAGAGGGACGTGAAAAGAGGGGGATGATGGAAGACGATGCAGGAGGGACGATTCGGCAGGAGGGAGAACGAGGGAGGATTGCGCTTGCGCACGGCTCCCCTCCTCTCCTCATCCCTCTGCTCATTCCTCGTCACCCTCGTCCCGCCTCCATCTGCATCCTCCTCCTCCTCCACCTCCTCCTCCTCCTCCTCATCATCATCATCATCATCATCATCATCATCAGCATCATCAGCATCATCATCATCATCATCATCATCATCATCATCATCATCATCATCAGCATCATCATCATCAATCCCCGTATCTGTCTTGGTGTCTTTCCCCTTACTCCGTCGTCGCGGCCCTCTACCACCACCTCCTGTGCCTCCTCTGCGTCCTCCTCCTCCTCCTCCGCCTCTGCCTCGGCCTCCGCCTCCTCCTCCTCCTTCTCCTCCTTCTCCTCCACCTCCGCTTCTTTCTCCGTGTCCCCAGTATGCCTCTCACGTCTCTCGTCCCGCCTACAAGTCCTCGAGGCTTCTCCATTCTCGCTAGGCATGCTAATCCTCCTCTCCATCGCCTCATCAACCTTCGCCTCGGACTTCTCGTCCACCTCCTCCTTCTCCTCCTCCTCCTCCTCCTCCTCCTTCTCATCCTCCTCCTCCTCCTCCTCCTCCTCCTCCTCCTTTGCACGTAGTCTTTCAATATACGCAGCCTCGCCGTCATTTACCTCATATCATCCACCTCCACCTCCGCCTCCTCATTCCTCTCCGTCGTCGTCCTCCCCTCTCCTCCTGCCCCTCCTCCTTCCCCCACAGCCATCCCCCTCATTCCTCATCGCATCCATCCTCGCTATTCCTCCACCTTCCTCCGCCTCCTCCTCCTCCTCCTCCTCTTCCTCCTTCTCCTCCTCTTCCTCTTTCTTCGTCCTCCTCCCTTCTCCCTCCTCCTCCCCCTCATCATCATCATCATCCTCCTCTTCCTCCTCTTCCTCTTCCTCGTCCTCTTCCTCTTCCTCCTTCTCTTCCTCCTCCCTCCTTCCTCCTCCCTCCTCCCTCCTCCCTGCCTCCTCCTTCCTCCTGCATCATCCTTCCTTCCCCCGTCCTCCTCGGTAATCCTTCTACTGCTCCCCAAAAGCTTCCTCCTGCTGCCGCCCCCACCCTCCCTCGGCATAAGACGTCTAACGCCGCGTCATGTTCTCAAAACGTGGCTCCCCAGAGGCCTCGACCCCCTCCCCGGGACCACTGCTTCATCCCGGGCCATTCCCTGACGGCCGCGGGGCCGGTGAGGGCCCTGGGAGGCCGAAAGTGACCAAAAACCTCCGGTCGTGTTTTTTTCCACGGCGCGAGGACGTCAAGGCCGTCAGGGTCGTCCCCCCCCCCATCTGCCCTGCCCTTCCGCTGGCGACGAGTCGAGGGCGACGCGACAGCGACGGCAGCGGGGCCGCCGCGCACCTCCGCCCGCTCCTGCAAGAGGCAGGTGGAATCCAGGGGCGCGCCGGCTGGTTCGGCATCCACTGGGAGGACGAGCGCGGAGAGAAGTGGCAGAAGGAGGAAGCGGGAGGAGGGAGAGAGGGTAGACGATAAGGAAAGACACAATACGACTGCGCCAGGCACCGTTAGCCGGCCGAACCCCCAGGACACTAGACGATGCAGAACGCAATCGCAACGCTTGCTCGGAGTCGCGCGATCGGATCGCGCGGCGTGAATGGCAGCCTCGGAGTCGCGAAAAAAGGCTTCCGTGAACGCATCAGCTCCCATTGTCCAGAGAACCCAAGCCAAAGAGGCGGCAGCAGTGGGCAGCAGTGGGCCCTGACTCGTTCACAAGGCCGACTGGAGGCAATCGGCGCGGTGAACCTCCGTTCTTGGAAGAGGTCGCACGTGCCATGCTCTGGAGGAGAAAGGAGGAGGAGGAGGAGGAAAAAGAGGAGGAGAAGGAGGGGCAGAAGAAGGAAGAGGATAAACATTGTGGATTAGCCATTTGAACGGAAAAGCATCAAGAGAGACTCGATGCTGCGCGCGAGAGGAAGCTGCACCGATCCCACGCCAGCCCTGAGCGATTCGGACGGGCCTTTGCCAAGCAGCTGTCGACGCTGCGCCCACGCTCGTTTGCTGACCAAGCAGGCTCGCCCCTTGCTGTTGCTGTGGTATTCCGCCGAGTGAGCCATCAATCGCCAAGCCAGCATCGTCTGGCTGTGCACCATCAAAGGACCTGGAAGGCTCGCTTCCCCTGCCATGACGGCCCCGACTAACCACGCCTATCATCCCGTGCTCGCTGATCCAAGCATGGTAGCTGAAGATGTATAGATCACGCTATGTCTCCAGACTCCACAGCGACTTGCTGCCGCTACCATCTGCCGCCGGGCACTTTCAGTCACTGCCACTGCCTGAGTTCTCGCACGGTAACTGATGATGTTACCTCTTGCGTCGCCTTCGGGCACCAATTCCACTTGCTGCAATCGCCTGCCTTCTCGCAATGCCCGTGCTGTTTGCGATGCCAGCCTTCGCAAGCGTTCTGACCTATTCCGTCCGTTCTTGCAGCTTCCTCCGCCGTGGGGCACCGATCGCTCTTGCTGTCACGATGCTCCTTCTCGCACCGGTAGACACTGCTACCACCGACTCCCCCACTGCCTGCCCTCGCACACATGCTGACCCTAACATCGTATCGGGTGATGCTGAACCCCATGCGCTGCCTTCAGGTCGTGACGACACCTGCTGCCTCTGCCTGTTTCCTCGCACGGGCTAATCCCTGGATCGTAGCTCAGAGTACAATACTTCGTCTCTTGGCTGCACCAGCGCCCGCTGACACTGCATGCTTTCTCGCACTGCCGGCGCCTGCTGCCACTGCGTGCCCTCCCGCATAAGCTGCTGCCCGCTAAGCTCGTTTCCGCATTGGGGGCACCCTGCTCTCGCGCACATGCTGACCCAGGCACTGCAGCCGATGATGCTACGCAAGTGCTTGCTCCGCCGTTGGGCATCTGCAGAGCCGGCTGCGGCCGCCAGCTTTCTCGCACCAGCAGTCGCTACTGTCATTGCCTCCTTTCTCGCACGAGTTGATCTCCGCATGCAAGCTGGGGATGCTGGGATCCTGCTCTGCTCACTCGTGCAACGGCACAAGCGGCTGCCACCGCCTGCCTGCTCGCACGTTCCCGCTCCAGCAGTGCAGTTTATGATGCATAGTGAGCGTGTTTCGATTCGGCATTTCGACATTGGGCGGCAAGGGGGGGGGAGGGGGGAGGGGGGTCTAGCTCCCGACCTCTGCTTTGCGCGACTGTTTGCAAGAGTGCGGCCTCTGGGGGAGACTCCACCCGCTCGAAACAGGCGCAAAAAACAGCCAAGATCTACTCTATGGGGGGGAGGGGGGTTTGGGGGCCCGCGCCGATCGGCAAAACAATGAATAAAAAACGATCACGTGGCTGCTGATATTTGGCCCTTGGCTCCGCGGAAGGGAAAGGAGGGAGGAGGGGGGGGGATGCAGGCAGGTGACAGACAGAGGCAAGGAGAAGGAAACAAGGAGAGGGGATGCAAGCGGCCTGCGAGCGGGAGGGGGGAGAAGATGAGGGGGAGGAAGGAGGAGAGGAGAAAAGGAAGGGGAAGAGGGGAAGAGGTAACGGAGGAGGATGCGGAGAGGAGGCAGGAGGAGGGGAAGACGATAAGAGCAGGAGCATGTGATCCAGGCATTCAACTGTGTTTGCTGTCCCAATGCGCGGCCCCGAAGGTCCCGACCTCTTCTGAGCCCTGGGGCAATTTCTTGCTCCGGATGCGGGATGCGTGCTTCGTGCCCCCGGGCTGGCGAGCGGGCCCTGGAGGCCGAAACCCAAGAGAGAAGCCGGGATGGAAAAGCTCGCATCGTTGCATAGGGGCACGATAGGTGCACAAAGATCGGATCGGATCGGCCGTCCTCGGCAGCGCCCGACACGCGAGCAAGCTGCCAAGGGGAGGTGCAACACCGACGAGCACCGCAGCCCAATGCTGGAGGAGGGGCCGAGGAGGCGGCCGCCGGCCTACGCCCACGAGGCACGCCAGGCCGAGCAGGGACACCGCCCTGGCGGCGGCCGAAGCCGAGGGCATCGCCGGGCGGATGCCACCGCAGGGGGGCCGCGACCGCTCGGCCGCCCTTGAGGGCCACCCAGACAGGGAGCCTGCTCCCATAGCCTCCCTCCTCCTCCTCCTCCTCCTCTTCCTCCTCCTCCTCCTCCTCCTCCTCCTCCTCCTCCTCCTCCTCCTCCTCCTCCTCCTCCTCCTCCTCCTCCTCCTTCTCCTCCTCCTCCTCCTCCTCCTCCTCCTCCTCCACCTCACTCCTCCTCCGACCTCCTCCTCCTCCTCCTCCTCTCCTCCTCCTCCTCCCCTCCTCCCTCCTCCTCCTCCTCCTCCTCCTCCTCCTCCTCCTCCTCTTCCTGTTCCCTCCTCATCTTACGCCTCCTCCATCCTCCTCCTCCTCCTCCTCTCCTCCTCCCCTCCCTCCCCACCTCCCCTCCCCCAGCATCCACCTCCTCCACCTCCTCCTCCTCCTCCTCCTCCTCCCCTCCTCCTCCTCCTCCTTCGCCTCCTCCTCCTCCTCCTCCTCCCCCCTTCTCTCCTCCTCCTCCTCCTCCCTCCTCCTCCTCCTCCTCCTCCCCTCCACCTCCACCTCCACCTCCACCTCCACCTCCACCTCCACCTCCCCTCCGCCTCCATCCTCCACTCCTCCTCCTCCTCCTCCTCCTCCTCCTCCTCCTCCTCCTCCTCATCCTACGCCTCCTCCTCCTCCTCCTCCTCCTCCTCCTCCTCCTCCTCCTCCTCCTCCTCCTCCTCCTCCTCCTTCACCGCCTCCCACCCCCGTCCTCGGGCGCGCCCCAGGGACATCTGAGCCACGCTAGATTGCGCAATCCCAAGAGCTCTTGGGATCGCCCGAAATATCGAATGGCCTTCGGCCCATCCCGTTACCGTGCCTGGGTTGTGGATCAGGGGCCTCTTGGATGTTCGTTTGGATATCGTGGGAGGCCTCTCGGGGGCCTCTTGGAAGCAGTTTTGAAGCCTCTTGGGGGCCGTTTGGGGGCCTCTTGAGCCTCTTGTTGAGCCTCTTGGGGGCCTCGTGGGGCCTCTAGGGGGCCTCTTGGGCTATCTCGGGTGCCTCTTGGGGCCTCTCGGGGGCATCTTGGGGCGGAAGGCTCGAATTGTCGGTTCGTGTCCCCCCCCTCTTGGGCCCCTCTTGGCGCAGTCTTGGGGCCCTCTTGGGCGACCTTGGGCACCTCTTGGGCCGTTTGGGGGCCCTCTTTGACAATATTGGGGCTCTCCTGGGTGCCTCTTTGGCCGTCTTGGGGCGGTTTTTGGTGGCATCTGGGGCCATCCTGGAGCATCGGAAGCCCGACGACGCGAGAACGCGAAACACAGTTTAAACGAGAAAGTCAATGATGTTTGACCCCGTGGGCCCTCTTGGGGGTCCTCTTGAAGCGCTCTTGGGGCTTTGGGTGGGCCTCTTGGGCCGTCTTGGGGCCAACTTGGGCGTCTTCGAGCGCTCTTGAGCTGTCTTGGAGGCCTCCTGGACCCTCTTGGGCGGTTTCTGGGGCCCTCTTGGCCCGTCTTGGGGCCCTCTAGCTTGGCCCGGGGAAAACTCCACGTTGCGCCTCGCGGCACGGTGGCGGATACTGCGTTTGGCGTGCTTCGGAAAGGGCGCGGGGGCTGCCCAATGCTACGAACCTTAATGCAAATCCGCCAGTGCAGCCCCCGCGCCCCCCCTATTCTCTGTCCCCCCCCCTCCAAACCCTCCACCGTTTCCCCCTCCGTCTCCTCGTCCTCCTCCTCCTCCGTCTCCTCCTCCTCCTCCTCCTCCTCCTCCTCATCATCATCATCATCATCATCATCATCATCATCATCACCCAACCACTCTATATATATATATATATATATATATATACATAAGTATATATATACCGCCTAGACCACCCTTCGGGTGATAAGGAGGTGAGGGGGGGAGGGACCAACGTCGCACTCGATTGATCTCACTATCGAATTCACTACCGATCTCACAATCGATCTCAATCGATAGATCTCACAATCGATCTGACGATCGATCTCACAATCAATCTCACAATCGATCCCACAATCGATCTCACATTCGGTCTCGCTATTGATCTCACAATCGATATCACAATCGATCTCGCATTCGATCTGACTATCGATCTCACTATCAAACTCACTATCGATCTCATTATCGATCTCACATTCGGTCTCACTATCGATCTCACTATCGATATCACAATCGATCTCACAATCGATCTCGCATTCGGCCTCACTATCGATCTCTCTATCGAACTCACTTTCGATCTCATTATCGATCTCACTATCGATCTCACTATCGATATCACAACCGAACTCACAATCGATCTCACATTCGGTCTCATCATCGATCTCACTATCGAAATCGCTACCGATCTCATTACCGATAGTGATCTCACTACTAACTCAATCGATCGATCTCACAATCGATCTGACTATCGATCTCACAATAGAATCCGCAATCGATCTCACATTCGGTCTCACTATCGATCTCACTATCGATATCACAATCGATCTCACAATCGATATCCCATTCGGTCTCACAATCGATCTCACTATCGATCTCATTATCGATCTCACATTCGGTATCACAATCGATCTCACAATCGATCTCACAAGCGATCTGACATTCCATCTCACGTTCGATCTCACAATCGATATCACTACCGATCTCACGATCGATCATCGAAACAAAACATCAACATCGTCCAGCGGGACACCGGCGGGACACCGCGGGGCCCCGGCCGCCCAGAAGGGAATCATTTCGTCCGGCCGCGCCTCAGCCACACGACGGGACACCAGCGGGACACCGGCGGGACACCGCGGGGCCCCGGCCGCCCGGAAGGGAGACATTTGGACCGGCCGCGCCTCAGCCACACGGGCCCCGGCCGCCCGGAAGGGAATCATTTGGTCCGGCCGCGCCTCAGCCACAGGAGACTTTCTCTCGCCCGCCCACGCAGCTTCGCCTCGCCCGCACGCACGGCACGCACGAACACGAAACCGAAATCGATTTCCCGGTAGGGGGGCTCTCCGTTCCACTTCGATCTCACCCCCTCACCTCCGATATATATATATATATATATATATATCATGTTACTCCTCCACTCCTCCTCCTCCTCCTCCTCCTCCTCATCATCATCATCATCATCAGCAGCATAATCCCCATCCTCATCCTCATCCTCATCCTCATCATCATCAGCAGCATCATCAGCATCATCATCATCAGCAGCATCAGCATCATCATCATCAGCAGCATCAGCATCATCATCATCATCATCATCATCATCATCATCATCATCATCATCATCATCATCATCATCATTATCATCATCAGCATCAACATCAGCATCAGCATCATCAGCATCATCATCATAATCGTCATCGTCAGCATCATCATCAGCATCAGCATCATCAGAATCATCATCATACACATCATCATACTCGTCATCAGCATCATCAGCAGCATCAGTATCATCACCATCATCATCACCACCATCATCATCGTCATGATCAGCATCAGCAGCAGCATCATCATCATCACATTCATCATCATCAGCAGCAACAGCATCATCATCATCAGCAGCATCATCATCCTCATACTCATCATCATCAGCATCAGCAGCATCATCATCATCATCAGCATCATCATCATCATCAGCATCATCGTCGTCGTCGTCAGCATCATCATCACGATCACCATCATCATCAGCAGCAGCACCAGTATCACCATCATCATCGTCATCATCATCATCATCATCAGCAGCATCATCATCATCATCATCATCATCATCATCAGCATCATTATCACCATCACCATCATCATCAGCAGCATCATCATCCTCATCATCATCTGCATCATCATCATCATCATCATCATCATCATCATCATCATCATCATCATCATCATCATCATCATCATCATCATCAACATCATTACCATCATCCCTCATCCTCCTGAAACACATACGGTCAGGAAGCCCCATGAAGCCGAGGAATCTGCAGCCCAGGCGGCCAGGAGCAAGGAATATGAAGTCCAGGCGACCAGGACCTCCGAAAACTCTGGACACCCGAGGACTTCGATTGATTATATATACATGTGTATCTATATATATATATATATATATATATATATATATATCAGGAAGCCGACTGGGATGGGCCACACACACAATAGAATATGGAAGGCCCCGGGGTCCCCGAGGCTCTCCTTGGCCGTCCCGGGGGGGCCCAAAACGGACCAAGAAGGCTCCAATTGGCGCCGAAGACGGTCCACGAGGGCCCCGAGACGCCCAAAGATCTTTCCAAGACGCCCAAGATGGCTACAAGACGGCGCCTCCAAGACGTCCCACGAGGCCTCCAAAAGCACCCCGAAAAGGGCAGGCCAAAATCGTCGAATCCGTGCGGAAAACATAGATTCTTCTTAGCATCTACGACGTTTCGGCCATCACGGCGTGGAAGAGGGTCCAGGAGGCCTCCAAGCCCGCCACAAAACGGCCCAGAGGCCCCCAAGAGGCCCCGAAGACGGCCCAGGAATTTCCCAAGACGGCCCAAGAGGCGCCCAAGACGGCCCAAGAGAGCCCCAAGACGGCGCCAAGAAGGCCCGAGAAGGGGAGCCCGAACCGAAAACTCCAGCCTTCCACCCCGAGCGGCCCCCAGGAGGCCCGAAGAGGCACCCAAGAGGCCCAGAGAGGCCCCCAAGATGGCCCCCAAGAGGCCCACAAGACGGCCCAAGACGTCCCCAAGAGGCCCAAGAGACGCCCAAAGAGGGCCCAAGACACCCCCGAGAGGCTTCCGAAGTGCTCCAGAGAGACCCCCGAAAAGCCTCCCAAGAGATCCCAACGAAGATCCAAGAGGCCTCAGAACCACAGCCTCGCCACGGTGGCGGGATGGGCCGAAGGCCACTCTCGCGGGCGCGCAGACGCGGATTCGCGATCCATGGACCCGGCGGCACCTCCCCGGGACGCGGCCGGTGCCCCGTCGCGCGGCGGCGGACATCAGCGATGCCCCATGGAAACGGGACCCGTCGCTGGGGGGGCGACGGGCGGCGCGGCGGCACGCCGCCCGCCCCGCGGTGAGGCTCGAGCCTCTTGGGAGGAAGCGCCCCCCCACAGAGAGCCCCAAGACCGCCACTCCTCCCCCTCCTCCTCCTCCTCCTCCTCCTCCTCCTCCTCCTCCTCCTCCTCCGCCTCCTCCTTCCTCCTCCTCCTCCTCCTCCTCCTCCCTCCCTCCTCCCTCCTCCTCCTCCTCCCTCCTCTTCCTCCTCCTCCTCCTCCTCCTCCTCCTCCCTCCTCCTCCTCCTCCTCCTCCCCCTCCTGCTCCTCCTGCTCCATGTCTGCGATCGCCTGGCATTCGACAGAGCCGAGGCCCTCGCCGGGCCGCCCCCTCCAAAGAAGGGGCCCCCCGGGGGCCCCGAGGCTGCGCTGGCCCGCCACTTCTCGGCCACGCGGAGCTCGCGCGCCGAATCCCAGGCCAGCTCCCATGGCCTCGACAGGGCCCCGACGACCACGAGCGCTCAGAGGGGGAGGCGCCTCTGGTCCAGGGCCGGCCGGATCTGCCCACCCTTGCCCCACGCTGTGGCCGACGGCTTCCCACCTGTGCCCCCCGGGGCCGATCTCCTGGGCCTCCTGGCGCTGCCCGCCTCCTTGGTCCTCCCCCCGTCTCGTCGCTTGACTGTTTCTGTGCACCTTGCTGGCATCGACCATTCGCGGACATTCCGATGTGACGTCATTTTGGGGAGTGGGGAGGAGGGAAATCGAAAAGGACTTCGACGCCCCGACTCGTCCTTTAAGTGTTTCTGTGTAGCTTGCTGGTATCGGCCATTCGCGGACATTCCGATGCGGCGTTCACTCTGGGAAGGGATGGAGGAGGGGGATCAAAAAGACCTTCGACGCCAAGGAGCACCTCACACTAGCCCCGCGTCAATGACAAATGAGGGGCCGAAGCTCGGGGATCTGTTATGTACGACGTCGTCGCGCTCTCGTGGGCTTCTACAGGGCTTTCAAGGCCATGGCTGCACCCCTTTCAAAATCTAGCTAAAAAACAAATGGATAAGTCCAGGGGCCATTCTTCGGCCCTCCGAGCCACCCGGACCCCCCCAGCGTCAATCCAAACACCTTCTGGACGGTGCCTTCCTCATTGTCGTCGTTCGCCTCTGGAAACTCCCCTTCTCGAAGCCCCCCCCCGTCATTGTCCGAACCCCCGGGCCCCGCGCCTACAGCAGGTCCCCGGGCACTCCATCGTTCCAAAAAGACCACCCGAGAAACACACACACAGCCCCAAACACGCCCCCAAACCTTCACAAAGCCCCCAAACGCCCCTCACTTACTGCAGTCTTCCGAGCCCTCCATATTCCCCAAGAGGACACCCGAGAGCCTGTGGTCCCGAGCACGTCCCACCGCCAGACAAACCGCCCAGCACCCCCCCAGAGTCTTGCGCACCATGCGCTAGGAAACCGTCCCAGCCAATGCAGCACTCTCAAGCCATGAGGAGAACAGCGAACAACGAGATGACGGAGAGACTTTTGGGACAGCTTCCGGGCCAATCCACCAGATCGCACGTTCCGAAGCACACTGGCGGAGTCGACTCTGGGGCTCGGTGTTGCCTCGGACCCCGTCACTTTCTGCACGCGGGCCCTGCAGCCCTTCAGCCCAGCAGTTCTCCCTGAAGGAGGAGGAGGAGGAGAAGAAGGAGGAGCAGGAGGAGGAAGAGCATCGAGCAGGAGACGGAGGAGGAGGAGGAGGAGCTCTTGGCTCTCGAGCCCAGCAGATCTCCCTCCTCCCTCCTCCGCTGCCTCAACAATATCCCTCTATCCGTGTCCCCGTGGTTCTGTGGTGGCCCTCGAGGCCGCCAGGGCAGCCGTCCTACGTATGATTAAGAACACAGACAGTACAATCAGAGTGAAGCCTGGCCCTCCCAGCGGGTTCGGGCCAAGGCTGCGGAGGAAGAGGAGGGGCGCGGAGCAAAGGGACGAAGAGGGGGGGGCGGAAGAGGGGAAGACGAGGGGCAGGAGGGAGGCGAATGAGGAGAGGGGGGGGGGTGGAAGAGAGGAAGAGAGAGGGAGGGTGACGAAGAGGGAAGACGAACATGGGGGGGAGGAGGCGCACAGTGAGAAAAAGGAGGAGGGGGGAGGGGAAGATGGGATGGGTTACATGCTTGCGACGCGCTGACATTTACCAGCAACGAATACAAACCAACACATGTGTGTGTGCCTTCTGGCGATTGTCGAGCACACCACCGAGCATCCGTCACGCGAAAAGCTCGCGAGAAACCTCATGAGCCATCTTGGAACTCCATGCAGATCATCATGTTTGAGAGACTACGCCAAAAGGCAATGACAGCACACCGAAGCACGGCATCGGCATCAGCACGAGTATCACCATCGCAGCATCCCGAGCACAGCGCACAACAACTCTGCCACGCTCTACTGTCGCTCAGCTGTCCTGTCCTGTAGACAGAGTGATTTCGTCACGTGATGCGAAGTCCCCTCCTCCTCCTCTTCCTCCTCATCTTCCTCCTCCTCCTCCTCCGCCTCCTCCCCATCAGAATCGCATCACGTGACGGATCCCAGTTGCCGATCCTGCAGCGCATGCGCGAATGGCGCTCACCTGTCACGATCAGCCTTCAAGCACGAGCATCATGTACCGACGTTACGGCGCACGCTTCAAGTGGGGTGCCTTTTGGTATTATCTCTTGCTTTTGTCAGGAAGTTCCAGCGCCGATCTCATTGAACAGCGCATTCAAAGCCTTCTGCGGGCTGCCTTCTGACCTGGATTTCGAGGCAAACCAAGGGTCGCGCATCGGTATCGGTATATGTTCCGAGCTTGTCTTGTTGAATATATGGGTTACTGCCCCCCTAGCGCGAGCATCCGCGTCGTATCCGAGGCCACTCCATCGAGCATCGAGTATCCGAGGCCACTCAATGGCTATCCGAGGCTATCCGCGAGGACATCCTCGGCTTTTTGGGGCTATCAGAAGCCATCTGGACGCCGAAGACCACAGCAAGCGCCCTGGCATAGGTCCCCCCCTGATTCCACGCATCTTTTTCTCAAGGCGACCGCTACGGAGCTCCAGCGCTGCACACTCGGGGGCGACGATGGGGGCGAACACGAATGGCCCAGGGGAGAGCAACACATGTATCCAGGGGCGCCGATGGTCCATGCATTCGGCGAGGCTCCCTGGCGAATACGTGTATTCAGGCAAACAAGCAATGGCATCAACACAAAAACTCGGAGGTCCGCGCAAATTTCTCAAACAGGCGTTGGACCCCCCTCCCTGGCGCGCGGAGCGCGCCAGGGGCGGCGCCCGAGGCGCCGCCAGGGGGCTCCGGCGCCGATCCGAGAAGTCCGCACGGAGCGCCAAAAGTTCATGTTTATGTCATTGGTCGTTCCCCTAAATGCGTGCCCGCCTCTGTGCCGTTCGCCCCTATCGTTAACTAGGTCGGGCGTGTCCCCCTACAGGCGGATTTTCCACGAAAGATAAAAGAAATATCCCAAGAAAACTCAAGACTGGTCAAAGAATAATCGAAAAATCGTCCCTGGACTGTTTCTCGACTATTTTGGAATATTCCTCCTGTAAAAGGAGGTGCCCGACTTACCTCCAGGGCGTTTTGTTAGCGTTTTCAGCTCGGCGCCTTGGAAATCTTTTTGGGGCGTCTTCAGGTCTCAACAAAAAACTAAAAACGCCGTAAAAAATATGCGGTGGCTTAGCGTTTTCAGACCGGTGTTTTAGCACTTTCAGTCTGCAAGCGCCCCCCCACCCACCCCCACCCCACCCCACCCAAAAAAACAAACAATGCAAAAAAACAGCCCTGAAACCGCTAAAAAAAAGTGGCGTGTTTTGTTTTTCGCGTCGGCAGCCTGTCAGAAGCCCAGAGCAGAAGACGCTTAAAAAAACGCCCAGGGCGCTTTTCAGGCGAAACAAGAGTAGGGAACCGAACTCTATACACCGACGCCGTTGTCTGGCCTCCCACTGAACCTCACACAGGAAAGCGGATCCTGGTGTATACGGGATCCTGGTGTACACATTCTTCGTTGCTTCCCCCGGAAAGAGGGAAACAAAAAGTATAAACCACACAACCCCGACATCGTCCCCGACCCTCAAAAAAGTCCTGGAATTGAAGAACTAGGGGAACAAAAAGTGACATAAACATAAAAACTCGGAGGTCCGCGCCGATCCGAGAAATCCGCGGGGACCTCCGAGTTGTTATGTTTATGTCACTTCTTGTTCCCCTAAGAACAGACCCGCCGCCCGTCGTGCACATGCTCCAGTTCCCGACATAGGATCGGCGGTGGATAAACCTCCCTTTAGTACACCTCCCCTTAGCGAAAGCGGCCCGGGACCGAAACCGACGGACCTGGACCCGCAACAAATGATGGCCGCGACGCCCCCTCGCGAACCGACAACGGCCGATTCCTCGATCGACGTGTCGGGGCAGGAGGTCTATCCATAAAACAGGGCTAGGATCGGGATAAATCGCTCCAGAGCGTTCCGGAGCGCTCTCAGAGCGTTCCGGAACGCTCTGGAGCGGCCGCGGCGCCCAATACATCCTCCAAACCCGCCGATTCTCAGAGATTTCGAGTTATCCCGATCCGATTTTGTCCCAATCTTCACGTCGTTTTAATCCACCTCCGACACGGGACCGCTCGTCGCCTCCCGCGGCACCGCCGCCCGGCCCCTCCCGCAGGCGCCCTCCGCGGCCCGGCCGAGGAGGGCGCCGCCGCGCCCTGCGACGCCCGCGCCGTCGCGGAGGCTCCCCGCGCCGGGAGCGTCACCTGAGCGACGAGGCGAGGCCCGGGCTTAGGATGCTCCAACCTACTTCAGCCTCGATCACCAGAGAGAATCTCGAGCGCCAGAAACAGTACCGAAGCTCGAGGGTTTTCACGTGTCGGGCCCTGGGAGACACTGTTTCGACACTGTTTCGGCACTCTTTCGACACGCTTTTGACACTTTTCCGGGTGCTCGAAATCATTCCTGGGATGCGGTCCTTAAGGAAGATGGGAACAACATAAGCCCAGGCAGGAGATGGAGTCGCAACAACAGAGGGAAGGCCGGGCGGGAGGTGTGTGGCCGATGTCGGCCTCGGGGGGGGGGCCCTCGCCGGGCCTCGGGACCGGCAGAGAGCGACGCGCAGGATGAGGGGCCGGTGCCGGGGGAAAAGGGTCGGGGCTGCCAGGCACCCCGCGTTGAAGAGGTCAGGGCGTCGCATGTCTGGGGGCGGGTCTCGGGGCGGGTGCGTGTCGTGCTGACTTCGACTCTGGCTTCTGACGCGGCGTGGATCGTTCCACCCTGAACGAGCGGCCGTTTCCGAAACGTCCGACCGTTCAACCTCGACCGATTCTGGGTCGCCAGCGGCGTTCAACGTTGAACGCCGGCAGCGTGGTCGCCGCTGGTCGACACGACGCGAACCTACGGTACACACGAACGGCACAGCGACCTTACGCGGTGGCTCACGCGGGTCACGCGGGCCGCCGGCGCGGCACGCCACACTGGAGACGAGGGCGCCTGCGCGGGACGCTGCGCGGGCAGCTTACGCGCGAGTGTCCGCGCAAGCGATGAGGAAACCAAGCGGTACCGATACCGCTACTCCCCGGACCTCTCCCGGGGTGCTTTCTGACCAGGATTTCGAGGCGAATCCAGCAGTGGCGACGAGGGCCTGCCAGGAGACCCAAAAGGAGGGGACGACGAGGGAGAAGGGTAGCAGTCTGCCAGGTACCTCCTTCTCCTCCTCCTCCTCCTCCACCTCCTCCTCCTCCTCCTCCTCCTCCTCCTCCTCCTCCTCCTCCTCCTCCTCCTCCTCATCCCCTCCTCCTCATCTCCTCCTCCTCCTTCTCCTCCTCCTACACTCCTCCTCCTCCTCCTCCTCCTCCTCCTCCTCCTCATTCATTCATTCATTCATTCATTCATTCATTCATTCATTCATTCATTCATTCATTCATTCATTCATTCATTCATTCATTCATTCACCAAAAGTATGCGCGCCTGGGGCATTCACACACAATCCGTGCGAAACGACGCACACCACACACACACACACACACACACACACACACACACTCATTGGTGGGTGTCTCGAGCACGCTCACGCTGCATCTGCTCGAGAAGGGCACGTCTCTCAGCAATCATCTGATCCAGGTGATCAGAGTTGAGACCGAAGTGTGCCAACAAAATTTCAGTATCAAGCCACGGGCCCCAAATCTCGATGGAAGCCCAAGGCAGGTTTTGGTCCAAAGCAACATGCCGCGCCTTAGGCGCGAGGAGGCCCATCAAGGCCTGGGGCGAAGTGGCCTTCCAAGGCCCGACGGTCCAGCCAGCATATTGTTTGGAGCCACAAAAAAAAAAAAAAAAAAAAAAAAAAAAAAAAAAAAAAAAAAAAAAAGAAAAAAAAAAAGAAAAAAGAAACAAAAAAAAAAAAAAAGTAAAAAAAAAAAAAAAAAAGGGAACTTGCCTTCACCCGCTCTCTTGAGCTGGCGGGTGAAGGTGGTGGTGGTTGGGCGGCCATCGCACCGCCTCGCCAGGGATTGAATTCCACCCCATGCATATCCACCACAGGCACGGCAGATAAAGACTCTGCTGCTCTGGGTGGGGGAGGAGGGAGGCCCGACCCAAGAAAGACACTGGCCTCCTCGATCGTGTGCCTCTGGAGGGCGGCGAAAGCCTCGAGCTCGCCAGTCACTGCTGGGCTGAGGATACGCCGCCGCTGCGATCGGGCCAGGATCGCCGACGGTCGCGGCGCCCTCGGGCGCACCTGGACCCCCTCCCCACGCCGCCCCACGTCCACACCGCCCCCCGCATCCCGACGCCGAGGAGGAGGGAGCGGGAGAGAGTCGAAGGCCTCAGCCTCGGCCATGTGGACTTCCTGGCGGCAGCCCACTTAGCGAAGCCTTTGACGGCCTCCTGGAGGCACTCTAACGCATCAAATCCTGGGCTGGGATC